AAGGAACATGCCGAGCACGTCAACAGGCTGCACAGGAAGCGCAAGGGCGAGGGCAAGGGCGACGCCGCGCGTACCACGGCGGCGGAGACTCCTGCAGGTGTTCATCCAGGTGGTGCTGCTGCAGGTAGCCCTGATGCCCGCCCAAGCGCAGCCATTACAACCAGTGGCGGTGGTGGGGCCACCGCCGATTCGCCCAAGGTTGACGTTCGCACCAAGGCCGCTGAGGCTCTGGGCAGCAAGGGAGGAGGAAGAGGCGCTGGAGGGGGTGCTGGAGGCACCCCAGGCGCGGCAGGAGAGGCAGGCAGGGGGCAGGACAAGAAGTCTGGCGGGTATCAGCCTGCCTTGCCCCACCAGCTGGTGGGGTAAAGCGGCGGTGGGGCCCTCGCGGCCTCTTGAGGTCTTCTTTCGGTCGCCCGTTTGGCCCTCGCCCCCGCCGTGCTCGAATCCCCCCGACCTGCCCCCCCCCTGCTCTTCCTTCCCCCTAGTGCCTGGCATCTTACAGGGCCGCAGCGATTTCGGAAAAAGCGAGCCGTCCAGTCAGGGCAAAAGCTCAAGCACAAGTCTTCAGGGTCGCGTCAGGGAGAGTTTTTTCTGTCTCGAGACCTGTAATACCACGGCATGGTCGTCAGCTAAGCAGTTTCTCCAGGGGGAGGCGTCGAGTCACATCGTCATGCTTCAGGGACTAACTGTTGACCCTCAAGGGCGTGCCGAATGTGAATCCCAGCTTAAGAAGCTGGGCTGGCAGGCGCAGATTCACCCGTCCGAGGTCACCAGTGCAGGAGGCCTGTCAGGAGGGGTAGCAGTTGCGTGCAGAGAGTTCGTTGGCCTTGGCTTGCCGCCGACGGACACGAAGCGCCCGCCGTGCCCGCGCCGCCAGCAGTTGATGTGGGTTAACGCGTATGTACCAGGAGGGTTCATCCTCGGATCCATCTGCCTTCCGACCAGGACCCGCTGGGCCCAATCGGATGCCAAATATTCAGCAGGATAGGCGAGCAGATTCACTCTTGGGGTTTGCCGTTTGTTTTGGGAGGCGATTGGAACGTCTCACCAGAGGCGCTCCAGAGCATGGGCTGGGCAGGACGTCTTGGGGGACAGATTGTCAAGCCATCGACCTACACGTGCAGGTCCAATGCTAAGGCCTGGAGAACGATATATTAGTTTGTGATGTCTGCAGGTCTTGCAGGCAGTGTCCATTCTTGCGCCATCAGTTGGAAGGCATCAGTCAAGCCGCACTGGCCCGTGGTGGTCAAGCTCCGCGGCGAGCCGCTCAGCGTCTTGGTCCAGACGCTGCGCCTGCCGAGGATGTTCCCGCAGGAAGTTGTGATAGGACCCATGCCAGAGCCGCCCGAGTACCAGGCACTTCTTGAATCGGCTAGATCGGTTGGGGATCGGGATTCGCTAGATGTGTGCTACAGGGCTTTTTGTTGAAGGACTGGGGCGAGAGCTTGGGACCTATCACGGCGTGCTAGATCAAGCCAAGTACTTCGGCAGAGCTGAGGGGCCTGCCACGATCAAGGTCTCAGCTGTCAGAACTTCGGGTGGTCGGCATCCCGTCGGGGGCCCTGAAAGCAGGGGTTGGCGTCGTATTCCCAAGTTATTATCGGAGCTGGTCCATATTTAAAGCGGGGCCTTCGCTGGGGGGAAGGAGAGTCCATGGGGCTACTGAAGTCGGTCGAGTGGGGGGGGGAGGGGGGCCAAGCAGTTGCACAAGGACGCTTCGCGGCAGCAGTGGATGCCGTGTGTTGGCAGTATGGTTAACACACCTCTCGAGCAGTTGCAGGCTTGGAGAGATGATTCCGAAGGCTTCGCACGAGCGCAGGAGCGTACGTTTGCTTCCGAGCGTGGCAAGCGCTGGCGAGAGCGGGTACAGGAGGCTGTATCTGCAGGCGCTGGCAAGGCGCATCAGTACTCGCAGTGTCCCATCGGCTGGGCGCCGCCCGAGTCGAGCACCACCAAGGCTGGAGGATATTCGGTTCCGCTGGGGCCTCAAGAGCCTGTGGATGGGCTTACCAAGTTTTGGAGTGATATCTGGAAGCCCCACCCTGAGGCCTCGAAGTTCCCCGACCCTGTCCAGTACCTGACGCGCCAGATCCAGGCCCGGGCTGCTGGGCAAGGTGTTTCGGTCCAGGAGGTGTGTTCCAAAGAGCGGTCGATCGCTGAC